GAAATAGCGCAGGATTGGGACCATTGGAGACACTGTCTAACACTGTTGCCCCTCCCCCCACCCAAAAGGATAAACTGACCATTCAGGTAGAAGTAAATGAAAAGGAGTTAATTTTAGTGCCCATTTTCTGCTCCATGCTTAAATTCGACAAGTAGGTGTGTATTTAAAGCGTTGTGACGAATTGGTTTAAATGCTGTGTGAAACAGGTTCATTGTGGTCTTAGTTCTGCTGCGGTAACATTCATCTGAATTTTGTGAGTAATTTTGCTTTACTCTGGAATGTGCTAGAGGAAGTGGTGCTTTGACCAGAAAGCAGTTGTAGCCTAGGTTTGCATCTCTTGCCACATGTTCCTCGTGCTGCCGAGGCGTCGGCACCTTTGACGAATCGACGTCAGTGAAGTATGATGAATAAACTTTCGTTCAAATGATGACTGATTGTAATTACCCACTTCTTCCAAACACCGCTGTTCAGAAGCGACCAAGAAAGTCGGCATTAACACGGGTTAAAATAACCACCACTGCTATCAACATATTTTTGAGAGGCGCGCTGCTCGCGTTCGAAGAGCTAGTGGTCACGCTCGTGGTTAAAAACGCTGTCCATCAAACCACTTGCTACCTCCTCGCATGATCACTAAAGCGTAGAAAACAACTGTTCACGTCTGATCGCTGTTTCGCTGCGCAGTTCTTCGGTTTGGAACTACACGTTTACACGTGAACAGCATGAAACGTATATATCACTTTTCTGCCGCTGCTACTCCTTCGTTTCTAGGTCAGATTCTTTGCGATGATTACGAACAAGCACAGGCCTACTTTTATGTACATAACAGTTTAATTGTTTCTGTATATTTGCTGCTGGGGAGGGGCAATATCTCATTTCTGTGTATGAGGACTAAAGGATTTACTAGAGTTACTACCTGACCATCCTCGTTTATGGTGTAGCATACTTCACTATGCGTTATGTATATGCATAGACTGAATCTGGCCGGATATAGCCTCACAGTGTGCTTCATTGTGTGGCCTTCGAATCAGAATCCTGTCTTTACTGATAAGCAAGCCCGATTGTCTGAGTGAATGAACTGCTTGTTCTAATAAAAATGACAGACTCTGACACAGACTTCGGCTAGAAGCCCTTACTGGTAACCCCAATTTTCATCTTAAGAGGAGAACGGGTAATTACCAGCTATTACGTTCAGGCGATCATTAGCCGAATCTCGTTGTCTACAAAGGCGGCGCAGCGCCGTAGGGTACGGTGATAACACATGAGGTATCGATTTCAATGTTAGTTTAACTCCCACTTGGATAGAGAGCTGTATTAGAATTATTGGTACAGTGTTAAACCGACTAGTAGTGCATCATGCCTGTGGCCAGGCTAAATTTTCTCTGTCCCCTTACTTGAGTACTCTTTTTCCCTACTTTAGGGAAGCAGAGTATGGAAGTGTCATCGAATGAACTGTTTAGGTTACAATAAACAGCAGATCTCAGTTGGCTGACTCAACTATCCTAGCGACAGTCACGCGCTATTGATGACTTCAGCTGGGACTATTCAGTGAAAGTACTATTATAGAGGTATTATGTTTTATAACTAACGCTGAATTGATAGCCTCATACATAAACATAGATTTATATAAGACAAAATGATAGATTCGATTGTATAGTTGGCTATTTACTGTCATTTGTTTACTGTTCCCGACATGATTACCTCGCTGATAACAAGTTTTTCTTCACCCCGGCTGACGTTCGTTTCGCCTGCTATTTCCTTTCGATGTTTTGTGCTTGGTTTTATCACTGAGTTACGTCACTAGCGTCGACTTTGATCTTGTTTTTTGCTGTGCGGTGTGCATCATTTTCTGTCCTTTCCTGCCAGTGATTTAATTGGTAATTAACAGAATTTATTTCTTTCGGTCTCCCCGTAAAAATACACTGAGTTCAGCGACTTCACAAATCGTCAATTGATTCTGCCTCGAGCAGCTGTTTTTTGCATGAAGGATATAAAGCATTGTTCAGATATGACAGGGACCGATGTCACTGTCTGTTCAATGGGCCCAAAAATATACTTAGATGTCTGAAGAATTTTATAACCTCAAGTTTTCTCGGTTTTACATTTCAAAATTACACAACAAATGTCATGTTCGCTTTATTTTGAAAAGCTCCATGAGGTGCCATAGCATTATCTTCCGTTCTTCTTGTCCTGTAGTGGACATCGTTTTTTGAAAGGTGAGAGTGCATAACGCATCGATTTCATTATGTTCTCTCTAAGGGATAATTTGCACTGTGGCTCCTGGTAGTCGCGTGATGGTAGAGCGCTTTGTAGTCTGCTTTGTACTCCGGAGGTGCCTATGAAACAGTTAAATCCGCTCAATGGATAGTCATTGTCTTGACAACGAATTCCAAAGAATTGACCCCACATTTCTTCAGCACAATAGGTTAAGAGACGGGCAGTAATTCCTTGAATTGAGAATAACAGTGTAAGCATGGTATTCTGAAGTGGTCATATCAGAATGGAGATAAGGTGCACGGCCATGCTGTCTGATACGCGTCCTCCCTGTGGTTGTGTTTAACCTTGATCCACCTGATAGCTGTCTGTCCAGTGTACCAATCTGCACAAAATGCAATCCTGAATTCTTTCTTTCTTCCTTTCTGATCCTGGCAGCATATGGTTCTGTTACCAGGTTCTTGTTTTACTGTGCAATTGGCTCGGTAGGAGTAAGACGTTCTACTATTTCTGTGGTGTCATCCTGTGCCAATTTTCGACTCCCTCTGGATTCAAGACAGATGTTCACGATGAGTGTACCGGGCTAGGAGTTTGCTTATCTCAGGCAACGCTACCCCTTACGCTAGTCATTGTTCACTCTCTGTGAAGAGAACGTGGAAAGTGTATTTTGTAAGACATTATGGATTATTTCTTTCCAAAAGCTTCATTCGCCTTGTTGCAGAGTAAAACGTTTGAAAAAGCAATTCAGATGTGGGAACCCGTTGTTAGTGGTTCAAAATGAAGCATCCTTGAGGCTCATTAGTAGAACAATAACACTGATGAAATCTATAATTCAAAATGATGCTTTCGATTGTTTGCATTAAATAGAATCTATTAATAAATTTGCCTGTCTCTTAATAGAATATGATTAGAATCTGTTCATATTTCGATTATTTAAATTAATCAACCTGGCTTCATCTAACCACTTTGACTAGCATTTATTTAGTAATGCAATGGATTTAACAGACCCGGCCGAACCTCAAGTGACCAGATATTCACTCTACGCCAAATTATCAAAAAATCTTGCAATAGATTTAACAGACCCGGCCGAACCTCAAGTGACCAGATATTCACCCTACGCCAAATTATCAAAAAATCTTGGGATTTCGTTCATTCGGTTTAAATGTGCTATGTGGACATAGAAAAAGACTATTAACGAAACCCACGCAACCATCTATGGGAGCGCTTGCGAACACATAGGATAGATAGCTAGTTGCTACGGACTGTCCAATCACAATATGCTGATAGCAGGAGCTGCGTCAGGATAAATAGCATTAAGTCGAAAACTTTGTGCCAAGCCTGCGTTCCGTTCCCTCTCTTGTTCATGGAGGATGGTCAGGTGCCGCCAGGACGATGAGAATTTCAGCATAAGAGATGCGGAGACGAGAAGGTTGCTGCTTGCAGACGAACTTGTTTTATAGGCGTCTTCCGAAACTGATCTCCAGTGCTCCTTAGAAAGGTTCGCAGCCGAGTGTGACGTGACCAGCATGCATGTGACCGCATCTAAAACGGAAAGCCTAGTGCTTTCTCGTTCTCCTACCCCTTCAAGTTAACAGAGAAGCAGTGGAGCAGGTACCTCGGGGTCGTGTTCACTGGTGATCAAAAGTTTGAGGAACAGATCGACTGGCGAATTGGAGTA